GTCAGATTCTTCTAATATTTCATTCGAAATAAGTTCAATATCTTCCATTTTCAATCATTTCGTTATCCTCGAAGTCACTATGGTGATCATAAGTTCACATCGCAAAGCCCACTAAAATGTCTTTCTCAGAAGCAATAAATACAACGTTATCAAATACATTCCCCGAAAGGAAAAGATGTGCTTGAACTTATCACAATTTAAATTATTTATAAACGGAAACAAAAAAATATTGAACGTAATATTTGGATGAAGAAATACAATTGCACTCTTGATAAATAAGAAAATCACTCTCCTGGCTCGTTTTTTGAATATACCATATAGACCATGTATATCATTTATTATTATTATTATTATTATTATTATTATTATTATTATTATTATTATTAAATTTTCTCTCCTGGAGAGATCAACGAATGGAATTATATCATTTATCAGGCTTTCGGCTACATCCCTGGACAAGGTTATTAACCTTGAATATCAATGGGAGGGGGTAGGGTGATCGCCCTTTGCGTCCAGTCATTGTTCCACGTTTGATACGAGATATTTGAGCAGAGATATAAAATTTGTGCTCTCTAAAAGCTATAATTCAGATATTGTACGTTTTAGGAACACGATTCTAAATGATTTAGTTGAATGGTAAGGGAGATAGTCGTAAATTTCTAAGTCAATGAAGGCGTTCTCTTGTTGCGAAAATGAGATTGTCTTTCAACAAAGGACAGAAGTGTCGTGGAAACGAGTGTTTGTTCTGCTGAGACTAGTGGGTGGCTGAGAGGACAGACAGGTGCTTTGTCTCTCGTTTGTTTTCAAATTGAGCGTCTTCATGGAACCTAGGGCACCCAGAAAGAAGTCTTTAAAGGAAAGAATCAAACAAAGCTTGACACGTCACAGGTTAGCGTCAGCTCGAACCTACCCCCAAACTATTCTATCATTATCTGCTTTTCTAAGAAGTAAGAATAGTTATGAGAATTTGTAGACACAGCCCCTCCTATAGTATTTAATTAAAATTGGACATGTAGGAAACACATGAGGTGTATTAATTTATGAAAAACTAAAGTTTTTTTCTTTAATCTACTTGCTAGACATGTATTGTAATCAATTATTCTCTTGGAGTAAATAAATCGACATTTTCGTGCTACTTTGCCTTCGAATTTTCCAATCTTCATCATTATCATTATCATCATCATCTTCTTCTTCTTCTTCTTCTTCTTCTTCTTCTTCTTCTTCTTCTTGTTATTATTATTATTACTATTATCCCCAAATCACTCATTGAACCATTTAAAATTTCTGGTATTGCAAAGTAACATAATACCATTTCCCATTTACCATGTCCCATTTTCGTTACACACTCTGATTTTTGTAAAATTGAAAGATTGAAAAAAATACGAGAAAGTAAGTGCTGTTCGAGCGCTAGTTCGTTTACACATCACTTCTTTTACACCCGTCATTGCGTTCCGTCACAGTTGCGTGTGTTCAGAATTCCGTTACGCCTGCTGCTTTTATACCGTTTTGAATCCCAGAATTGGGGTTTCCTTTAGGAGTCAGGCGGAGCGGGAGGAACCGCGCAATTCCTTTCGGCCATCCAGACTGCAGGGGTTGGAGTTCCAACCTGTGCGCCAGCGGGGGTCGTCGCGTCTGGCGGCTGACGATGGCCCTCTCGTCTCGCAGCTCTTTCCCAGAGGTGACCTCACGAGCAAAGCAAGCCGGGGGAGCGGGTGCAGAGAGGTGTCACTGTAGACCAGTCAAATTACACCACAAAATGGCGATCGAAGAAACAAAAACGAGTTTGGAAACTTGGCATTATTGTTTGTTGGTTCCTACTGTACAAAATACTAAAACTTCTGGAGAGTGGGGGTGAGCCGAAGTCTGGACGGCCAATTGAAGGTGCTTTTTCTACGTTTTTTGCATAACTATAAATCCCAAAGAAAATTGTGTTCTATATAAAATTAAAGAAGACAAAATTTACTACAAAAAAGTTCATATACGATTTTATTGTACAATTAAGCGTTTTAGAGTTATAGCTTTGAAAAGTTATTATTTTTGTTATCAGGTCATAGTTATCTCTCATAAAATAATATAGTAAGATCAATTCACGAAAGTAATTCTACTTTTGTTCAACATTTATCATCTACACGTTTTTGCATATTTGCACAAAAACAATTCTTATTTTGTATATTAACCTGTGAGTATCCGTGATCATTGAGATCCCAGATTACCTTAGGTACGAAAACTGATAATCCATAGTTAGTTTGAAGAATATAATACAAATATTCGGTGAAGAATTGTGTATACTATCAATATAGAAATTGCATTTCAGTCGATTTGTTTAATTTGACTGGGCTATTGGTTAGTTCTGGTACGCTTACAACCAAGTGCGACTTGGGAACATATTTAGAAGAGGGTTCGTTTTGTCCAGTTAAAGAAAATGTGTATTTTGAAAACTTGAATTCATTATAATTTGATAATTGCAACATTTCAGTACTCTACTTTGAGTTGGTAAATACAAATTTTTACAATGTTTTCACTGCTCCTCGAAAATAATATTTTTTAAAAATGTTATTAATATATTTTAGTTTTCTCGGACTGCTTTGGTGGCTGAGGAGTTAGCTTAATGTCTTCTAAACCCCCAGTGCGTGGGTTCGATCCCGGACGAGATGTGCTGTTTTTCGAAGGGCGGCAAATCCACAGTACCCATGTCACTCTTGTGACAAAGAACCCTGGCGGATGCCCGACAAAATTAAATCTCACCCACAACATCCCGCCCTGATCAGATCTCCCTTTTTCCCAATCAGGCAGTTCGGATATAGTAACTGAGACCGACATCTGGCGGGGAAAGTGAGAGTGAACCCCATGCGCAATAGTTGACCGCCGGCGAGGTGCGCCTGCTCGATAAAGGTCTCCAGAACCCCGTCGGAGGTAGGCTTCCAAGGAATCCTGGGTCGAAAACTGGGGCGCGGAACACTCCCTAAGGGCAGTCTCCCTGCTAATAATCCCGTGCTATAGATAAAAAAATAAACTTTCTCGAATACTACGTAATAATATTTTAATATACTCGCCAAGCTGGCCGCTAGTGATCGATCCGTTTGTGTGCGAGATCCAGAAACTCCTGATCTCCTGATTGACGCAGTGCACTGGCTGCTCTGAAGTGCTGAAGGATTTTCGGCGAGAGAGGCATAACACGTATGAGGCAAAGAAAGGATTGAATTTTATTGCATACGAATGTAATTTGTTTAATAATGAAAGACGGCGGCATTTAAATAATGCATTAATGAAACAATGTAGGCTTTGACGGCTGGATATAATATTAATAATAACTTCCGGGCTGGATAGCCGTGATCTATTAAACTCTCTGCGCCCAAATGTTTCATCTGCGACTGCGGCAGACATCTTCAGTGGCTACTGGAGCACGCAGTGTTACGTGGTGTCTTTTCAAATAGCCAGCTGGTGACTGGTAAACATTTCTTCTATGATTACAAAGCTGGGGCACTAATGATTGTCGGTCGGAGCGCTGATGTCGGCTGGTGACTTGGAAACGGTGGTTTAGGCTTTATCCGACGGAGCTAGGGTAACCATGTCGAGTGGACTTTTATCCCTTCCTCTTTTTTTTATTAAAATTAAATGGATGTTTCTGAATCTCAATGACCTTACGTTGTAGAAGGGCATGGTAGTGTTCCGTACGGGATAAAACATCAACATATTCAAATCTGATATCGTGCTCACAACCGGAAAAAGCCTGTTCGGCCACTGCAGACTTCTCAGTTTGGCCAAAACGACAGTTTCTTTTATGATCGGAGAGATGGGTATTAATGGTCCGTGGAGTGGTCCCGATGTATACCACGGCTCTCCAGCCCGAAAGGTGGTTGTTGTTGTTGTTATTATTATTATTATTATTATTATTATTATTATTATTATTATTATTATTATTATTATTATTTATTGCATTAATTATTGAGAGTAAATCGTGATTGGGAGCGCTATTAAAATCTATCATTAATTTGTACTGTCTTTTTCGTTTAACTCCGACGACGTCAACATCCATTGTTTCTGGCTTCGAGGGCAAACATCTTTGAGTCAGGACGGCCCTGTCTGGATCGAAAGTCTGCTCTTGAGCGGAGATGTTGGCGGCGGCTTGGGGCAGGATGGTAGAGTCAAGGCAGTTCATAACGCAGTGAAGCTGCGTGAGCGTTATGCCAACATGTCACGCAGATATCTTGTAGCGCTAATATCTTGAGACCGGTGCCGACTCGTATTTCCACGCAAGAATAATTAGATGATGGATTAGAATTCGAATGGTGATAGTAAGAATGATAATTAGAAGAAAAGCAGACGGCCATGCGAAATCTACAAAGGAGAATTACTTAACCCTAACTTTCTTCCTAACAATGAGGCTGCTTTACATCACGTCGGAGATCAGGATTCGAACAAGGATTATTTCCTTCACTAAACGGCGTATTGGCCGAAGAGAACAGTTTGTAAAACGACGGATTGCATACTATAAAACGCTCGAGCTGATCGACTGCTCTCGTCAACGGAAATTACAATATCATATTTGCAATTTCGTTCTTCAATGAATTTCACAGGATTTTTGACTGCTCACATCTAGAATATTTAACAGACTGATTTAGACTTCCCTCTGCAAGAATTTTCAGAGAACTGTTCAATTTCTCAACGAAAAAATATATCACCCAGGTTCCCTCGCTTTTAACGCGATATCCAATGGTGATTTCCAGTTTCCTATCTTTCCCCTCTAATTCTTCCGTATGTTCCACTAGGCGTGACCCGACGGCACGCGGTGAGGTCACACACGCGCCACATGTATTTTCGCACGTGCGCGCACCAACATTACAAGTTAATGATTCTGGGTTTCCATTGATTACGTGAGGCGTCTCAGTTCTTGTAATTCAAAGTTTTTCTATTAACGTAATATATATATATATATATATATATATATATATATATATATTTAAATGTATGTATTTAAATAAACGAATATTTTTACAGAAGGCGAAAATACAGGAACCAGAACTCGTAGAACTAACACGTGAGTATTATTTGTCCAGAAATGGCATAATGTCTGAATTAGATTTGTTTGATTTATATAGCAGACCATTCATTGTTTGTAAAATAGTGTAAAATTATAATGTATTAATTATAAAAATACAGGGAGTGAGAGGGTGGGATTAATTAATATTTATTAACCTTATGGTTATTTCAAATACAATACAATATATAAATAACATTAAATTGAAACAAAAAGTACTGAGATATTGCAAAACTTATTTTATGTTTTAACATCTTTAATTGGATATCAGTTTTATCATCCATATGATAAAGAATAGATTACTAAATAATAACATCACAGTTCTTACATTTCAAATAAATGTATTTACCTCATAAAATATGTATTTACAGAATTGTGTAGCCATTCTTGTAAAAGATAATACATTTATTTTTTAATGTTTTCTGGAATTTTATTATATACTTTAATCCTTTACAAAATATACTATTTTGGGCTCTTGCTATCCTCTTTCCTTGTATATTCTGTTTCTGTCATCTCGTGTTTCTAGTACGGATATCCAAAATATATTTAATTTTAACGTTTAAACATTGTGACAGTAAATTGTTCTAAAGTTTATATGTACACGTAACTATGCTTAAGTTAATTATCTAAATTCTCCTCTGTAAGTTCCACAAATATACAAGTGGTGCCATAAAGCACAAGCTTTGTAGCATTATTTCTAAATTTGAATCTTTCGAAAATTCAGTGAATTCAACAAAAACGAGATCAACAACTTCCTGTCGAGAGTTCCTTATCCTTCCTGTGAAAAATAAGCCAAAATTTGGAGGGTTTTGGAAAAAAATGATTCACTTCAAAAAGAAACGACTATTTTTTTTTAAAAAAAAGTAACTTACTATTTTTTAAAGATTCAATTTTAACTTTCTCGCGTCCTACTTACGCAGGACAGAGAGAGTAACGTGATGCGGCGGGAAAATCGGCGGATTTTTTGACAGAAAAACTCTTATTGCCGTGCCCTGGTGACGAAAACTTGGATAAAACGTGTTTCCATATGTAAACAAATTACTTCCTCTAACACGACGTGTAGTCAGAATCCATGTTTTGAGAGTCCTGGATAACGGAATATTGTTTGAAGGCAAAATGTTTGTCCGTTAGTTCATCCATCCGTGCGTCCGTCCTACGTTTGTGGTCAAAGATATCCCCTAAACCTTTCAGTCAATTTTCTCGTAAATTTATGTTCCCCGGTCGATCGAAAGAAAATCGAAGCCCCTTGAGTTGGAAATGGATGTTTTGATTTACGACTGTATTTTACATGAAGCCTCGATTACATTTTGGAAATTTTGTCAAAAAACGGGTTCAATTTGTTTTATTGGATTTTATTGCATAACAAAGAAAACGCTTAAAGGTCTACTTTTTGTTAAACTACTTGATTTTTTAAAAACTTCTAATGTTAGCTTTTCTCCATCTTTTAGCAAATACAAAATTGAAAATCAATTTCCTCAATGAAATTATTTCTTTAAGAAAGATTTTGAAATATGGTCATGTACAATTTTTAAGAACTTTTGAGTTGTTTTCGCGAAATTTTGCGCGAAAGAGAGATACTTTTTTCAAAAAGGCTCCAATTTTTTTCTTTAAACTTTCAGTTAGTGTGTGTCAAAGGACAGTAAAAAAATTGGTGCTAGACTCATTGCCGCCAAAGTCTCTGTATTTTGAAAACTTCTAACATTTGAACTAAGAAAACTAATATATGTATTTTTGCTATAAACAAAATATGAACTACAAATAAGCTTGTAAAAAAGTTATGTATAATTATTAAAAAAATCACATAGGTAGGCTGTTTTCCGGTACAGACAGTCGGACTCATTCATTCACTCATTCATTCATGCATTCATTTATTAACTCTGTCTCATGCAAAAGTTCTAACTGGGCTGTAGCACAATCACAAATAAAGAAAAGAGTGTTATTATTACTAATGTGCCACTCAATAATTGAGCCGCTTGTGCTTATATCAGCACTAGATTCCATAGTTGAATGACATACAATGAAATGAGAAAGCTACTTAAAAGTTGTCCATGCGAAAATACAGAATCCGGTAAGCATAACCTTACTCTTCGGAATATTACTTAACATAATACCAAACTGAGAGCTACACCCGCAAAATTGAATCGCCTAGAATATCAAGAAATTCGTTTCATTTCACATACAGCTGCAGATTCTGTAGGTTACTGATTCTGCGGATTCTGTAGGGTTATATCACAAACTTTTCACAGAACGTCAATACTTACATTCGATAAATGAACGGTTGCACGATACCCATAAAAACTATCATCGGTACCAAGCAACTATTAATAAGTCTAATTGTTGCTGCGAGAGTGTGTGGGTTTATTTGTATACTCTTGAATGAATGATTTTGCAAATAA